CCCCCCCCCCCCCCCCCCCACCCAACAACACGCCCGGTGACCAGTTTTTTTTTAAGAAAACAAGCGAAAAAAACGTTGTCATCGCCGGGGTGCGTTTGCTTTGTGTCGCATGCGGTACGCGAGAACAGGTTGACAGGGTCCCCTCCTTTATTCCTATCTACAGTATCGCGCGCTCAGCCGTTATCCATGTTTTCAGAAGACCTGGCGGCGCACGTGATGAACAAACAGTCTGACCAGACCCCCCCTCTAGTGCTCCGTTCCCTCGAAGTCACGTGGTCAACCGCTCAGGCGTGGATACCCCTCCTCCCCCCCCGGTGACTTCGCATTTTTTTCGCCAGCCAGCGAAGATGGCGGTGACCGTGAGAGACGTTAAGGGCACCCCTATCCTTCCGGTAATCGAGCACTTCGGGGGCCTGACGGACGAAGAGGAAGACAGCGGTGATGGCGATTCTTTGAGACGTAACCGTCGAGCCGCAGGCTTCGTTCCCTCCGACGCCGCCGCCACCGGTGCCGGAAGCGGGGGAGGGGGGGTGACGACGAAGCACCGGCCGCAGCAGGGGCGGGAGGAGGAGGAGAGAAGACCGATCGAGAGAACGTTCCTGGACCGTTCTCCGCCTCCGGAGTGCGTCGAGGCCGTTCTTCCCGGGGGATGCACGGCTAGGAAGGTGTCCGCCGTGGGGGTGTGCGTGCTGGCGTTGGTGAGTCGAAGAATCTGGGTCCCGCTGCCGTGTATATATATGTTTTTTTCATCACTTCAAAATCGGCGCATACAGCACTTGTGCCGCATACTCCAACCCATGGTCACACAGAGGGGTCTCTCCCTGGGCCCCCCTACCCATCCCTCCTGCGGTGCTTCGCCTTCAATTTTTAATGCGAGAAGAGTGCAGCACTCTCTTCCCTCTCTGTGTGCACACGAACTAGCGCTTCCTTCCAAGACCAGTACGTGAGACATAAGAAGTAATGGGGAGTACTCTCGTTCGGCCCATGTATTGAAGGATTGTGCCCCGTTCGACAGGGGGGTCTTGGGGCGCGGCCTGGGGTTGACAAGGCCGGAGGCCGCATTTTATGGGGAGCTTGTTTTTTGTTTTCGATATCTTCGGAGACTGCCTCCTAGGGTCTGGTCGTGATCAACAACAACGTGGATCGCTCGACACGGCTCTAGTGGGTTCGAAGCAGTGTGTTTCCAGATCGGCGATACCCCCCCAGTCGTGGACGGACACATGCCCCCCCCCCCC